ATCACAGTTGCTGGACCAATATATGGATAAGGGCGTACCTAAATAACAGGAAGCAGAGAGTTACTGTAAGGGGTGAGACCTCAGACTGGCGTGATGTCACCAACGGAGTCTCACAAGATTCTGTACTCGGACCTACCGAGTTGTTTCTGATATACGTGAATGATCTTCCAGACGGTATAGACTCGTTCCTCTCGATGTTTGCTGCTGATGCTAAAATTATGAGAAGGATTAAGACAGAGGACACCAAGAGGCTACAGGATGACCTGGACAGACTGAAGGAACGGTGCAACAAATGGCTACTAGAGTTTAACGCGAGAAAGTGCAAAGTGATGAAGATAGGCGTAGGGAGCAGGAGGCTAAACACAAGATACCATCTGGGAGAGGAAATCCTTCAGGAGTCAGAAAGAGAAAAAGATCTGGGGGTTGATATCACACCAGACCTGTTTCTTGAAGCCCCACATCAAAAGGATAACATCAGAGTGGTCTGCAAGGCTGGCGAACAAAAGAACTGCTTCCAGAAACTTGTGTAAGGAATCATTCAGAACCTTGTATACTACCTATGTCAGACCAGTACTGAAATATGCGACTTCTGCATAGAGCCCGTACCTTGTCAAGTCCACATGTAATCAAACGCAAAACTAAGTTAGAAAAGGTTCAGCAGTATGCCACCAGGCTAGTCCCCCAAGCTGAGAGGAATGAGCTACTAGGAAAGATTACTGGAACTAAACCTCACGACACTGGAAGACAGAAGAGTTAGGGGAAACATGATCACTACCTATAAAATTCTCAGAGGAATTGACAGGGTAGACTCCATACACAGTTTCAAATATAGATATGATAGAGCCCAGTAGTTTCAAGAATCTGTACACCAGTTGATTGACAGTTGAGAGGCGGGACCAAAGAACCAAAGCTCAACCCCCTGCAAGCACAACTAGGTGAGTATTATGATACCATGGCCTTAGATGCCATGGAAGACAAACAAAACGATGATGTAATTAACACAGATTTCGCAAAAGGCTTCGACAAATGTGACCATGTTGTTACTGCACACACAATGCGTTCAAAAAGGAATTACCGGAAAAATAGGCAAATGGATCTATAGTTTCCTGACAGAAGCCAATGTGTAATAATCCACAAAGTAAAACTAGACGACCTGCTCCTTCACTCGAGAAGTTAATTAACCCTCGTGAAGGATACCTGATCACAATCACTCGGGCTGTGATGCTGGGATCAGACTTCGTACAGCGGCTTCAACAATCAGGTTGGTCAGGAATATTGGTCACATGGACAATTAAACTAGAAGATTTACGCTCCATCCAGGATGATAACTCTGGAAAACTGCTCAAATCATTACCAGATTTGGTCTAGCAATAAGCTAGGGTGTGCTAGTGAAGTAAAATACATTATTAGGTCTATGCATTACCTTAACTCGAGATTTTAACAAGTGTTGGCCTATGGCGTTAGGTGGCTGTTGTTGTTGTATAGGCCTAGTGTGTGCGTGGTAATGAAATGGTTACTGAGGCTTGACGGTTGTATGACGGAAAATGCTTGGAGTGTAGTATGCTTATCCTTGGCTTCGTGAGCGCCAGTCTACCTCGGGCATATTGTTAACCTGTGACAGAGCTGTAGTTACAACAGGCCAGCAGTCACAATGTTTACAACATTGGCTGGCGTCAATGTTGTATTTCTAGATCCTGTGTCACGCTTCATGGAAAGTGGTGTGCACGTGCGTGCTTTTTATTTGGAGTTGGTGGGAGTATAGAGCTCGTCTACAGGTTAGTGGGGCAGTTCACCCAAACATTAACACGCTTTCATCCAATTTATAAACGGTTTTGACACCTTGCGCCCCGAGAAGAGTATGGCCGCTGCTGACCTCGGCACCCAACCAAGACCCCAAGGGTAAAGGCCCGCCTCGTCAGCACCAAGTCCAGTTGTACAAGTTATTACTTCCTTCTTTCAGACATGTTTCATTTTAGGTTTTTGACAGGTTCTGACCTGTCTCCCTCCTTTTTTTTTGGGGGGGGGGGGGGAGTAAAGAGGAAGGAGAGGCATAGGTGAAGGAAAGTATAGAAGTGGGAAATACAGTGAGAGGTATGAAAGCAGGCGGGCTGTCCGCCTTGCTGACACGATGTGTGAGTGTTGGCAGCTAAGCTAAGCTGGCTCCCTCTTGTCAGGGAGCTGTGAGTGTGCGAGAGGTTCTTCACATGTGTTTCACCATATATGGATGTCCATAGATGAATACTGTGTAGCATTCATATATACACATTCCGATGCTTCCACACATGTTATTCTGTTTAAGGCTCTTTATTTTATTATTATTATTTATCGAGTTGTCATACATATTTATCGAGTTGTTCATACATACACATATATGAACTGTTTATATAAATACATATATAACTCATCTGGGGATTATATACTGTGGGGCGGGGTTTTCGTCCAGAGAATCGAGGCTCTTGGGCCTCTCCTGTTTTGTCATGCTGCTCCCCCCCCCCCCCCCCCCCCGTGCGTTGTGACCTCAGTGTGGTAGTCTTCGATTGATAAAGATTAAGCCACCCAAGAGGTGGCACGGGCATGAATAGCCCGTAAAGATAGTCTTCGAGGATGTCGGGGTTTTAAGTGCTACCTGTGGGTGTGGGGAGGAGTGTGTGGGTGTGAGGAGATGCGGGGGCGTTGGGTTGACTGGATTTGGGGGGGGGGGGGTAGGATGGGCAGTGGTGTGGAAGTATTAGGGACAGTATTGATTATAAGGGATATTAGGTGTAGCGGGAGACAAGTCAGGACACCTGCACTGCGGGCCCGGCCTCCCAAACTGGGGCACTGGCGGGCCTCACCTTGAAATAAGTTTATTGAGGTATAAATACACACAACGGGATGAGGTAACTCAACCTGTTCTCGCCCTGCTCACTACAACAAATATATATATATATATATATATATATATATATATATATATATATATATATATATATATATATATATATATATATATATATATAATATATATATATATGTAATATATATATTATATATATATATATATATATATATATATATATATATATATATATATATATATATTAATATTATATAAACAATAATAATAATATGGCCCAGGGCACCTTCCCAGGGCCTCCCGTGGCCCTGGGAGGTTGCCCTGGACCACGGGCCACAAGAATTGGAAGTGTGCCGGGTGTGGTAGCAACTGCTGCCACCAACAGCCTTACTGATCAAGCTGAAAAAAGTCTGACCTCCAGTGGGCCTAAGAGAACAACTTTCGAACATGCGAAAGGTAAACCACAGGTGAGGGAGGGGGGCCACCTAGGAGAGGGGGGGGATGGGCCATGGGAGAGGGGGGTGGGCCACCTGGGAGAGGGGGGGTGATGGGCCACCTGGGAGAGGGAGGGGGGGTGATGGGCCACGTGGGAGAGGGAGGGGTGATGGGCCACCTGGGAGAGGGGGGGGTGATGGGCCACCTGGGAGAGGAGGGGGGGTGATGGGCCACCTGGGAGAGGAGGGGGGGTGATGGGCCACCTGGGAGAGGGGGAAGGGGCGCGCTGGGGCAGGAAATTGGGTCTTTGAAGACACGTGTTGCCCCTTAACAACACGCAACAAGGGGGAGCAGAAGGTGCCAAGGTGGGGGTCAGATGGCACTAGTTTCATTTGAGCAGCTACCATTACTGTTTCTCTTAACGGGTTTCCAGGGATCACTGCCCCACCGGCACGGTCTCTTAACCAATCATCCTGGTTGATGGCCTTCATAGGCTACACTGGTGCTTGCATCTCGCAGTCTGACCTACACTGCTCTCTTTTTGCGTAGCTTTATATTTACTGGTAACAATGTAGTGGTGACAGTGACTGGTGACAGTGACTGGTGACAGTGACTGGTGACGGTGACTGGTGACAGTGACTGGTGACGGTGACTGGTGACGGTGACTGGTGACAGTGACTGGTGACAGTGACTGGTGACAGTGACTGGTGACAGTGACTGGTGACGGTGACTGGTGACGGTGACTGGTGACAGTGGTGGTGACAGTGACTGGTGACAGTGACTGGTGACGGTGACTGGTGACGGTGACTGGTGACGGTGACTGGTGACGGTGACTGGTGACGGTGACTGGTGACAGTGGTGGTGACAGTGACTGGTGACGGTGACTGGTGACGGTGACTGGTGACGGTGACTGGTGACGGTGACTGGTGACGGTGACTGGTGACGGTGACTGGTGACGGTGACTGGTGGTAGTGACTGGTGACAGTGACTGGTGACAGTGACTGGTGACGGTGACTGGTGACGGTGACTGGTGGTAGTGACTGGTGGTAGTGACTGGTGACAGTGACTGGTGACAGTGACTGGTGACGGTGACTGGTGACAGTGACTGGTGGTAGTGACTGGTGACAGTGACTGGTGGTAGTGACTGGTGACAGTGACTGGTGGTAGTGACTGGTGACAGTGACTGGTGGTAGTGACTGGTGACAGTGACTGGTGACAGTGGTGGTGACAGTGACTGGTGACAGTGACAGTGACTGGTGACAGTGACTGGTGACAGTGGTGGTGGTATAGACCATGGTCAGGACGAGGGAAGTCCACGTGACGTCCCCACCCCCCCGGATGTCGCTATCAGTCCCGCATACCTCTCAATCACCACTACTTGTTCCACTTCTCCCACCTGGGCTCTCCCACCTGGGCTTACAATAGCCACCTTGTTGAGGTGGACTTTAGGTGGTGTACTCGGTAATTACCAACATTTTATAGCGTGCGAAATTAGTGGAATTTAGCTTAAGTGCTTCATTTAATGTATGCTTCTTAATTTAACCATATTTTACATCCCTACACACACCTGTATATATTCACTATTGGTAATTGAAAACTACCAGGTTGTTTGTAGAAATACTGATTGTGTTGTTTCTGTATTACAGAATAAGCCGGCCGTAGTCCAGGTGTTGAGAATGTGGTGTTGGGAGGTTGAAGGGTTGACTAAGAGAGTGTTTTCTTTCCTCAGATTAATGGTGGCGGAGCACGCGGTGAGGTGGGACAGTCGCTTCACCTTCACCTGCAAGATGACCGCCAACGCCTCCACGGGGGAACTAGACTCGTGCATGTGTCGGGTCTCCGTCAGACAGGTACTGTGATCCTCACCACCTCCTTGAGTCGTGGTGCCCCTGGTGGCGGCCGCCTGACCTGCGCCAGCTGGCCTCCTCATCTCTGCCCACAAACATTTCAACCCAGGACAACCCGTTCTCGCACTTTCATACAGTCAATATTGACTTATTAAATAAGTGCATATGTGACATACTAATTTATTGTGAATATTTTAGTTTACCTTGAAAAGCTTCATAGAAAACACCGACCTTACCTAACCTTCTTAGTACGTTATGATAAGCATCTTATTGCTTCGTAATTACAATTATTACTTAACCTATACCTATAATAGATTAAGTAATAATTGTAATTGCAACCTATACCTATAATAGGTTAAGTAATAATTGTAATTGCAACCTATACCTATAATAGGTTAAGTAATAATTGTAATTACGAAGCAATAAGATGCTTATCTTAAATACTAAGAAGGTTAGGTAAGGTCGGTGTTTTCTATGAAGCTTTTCAAGGTAAACTAAAATATTCACAATAAATTAGTATGTCACATATGCACTTATTTAACAAGTCAATATTGACTGTACGCAAGTGCGAGAACGGGTTGCCCAGGAGTAGCTATGCTGGATGATCTGCTTAAATGAATGTGAATACTCAGCATATCCGAAGCTAAAGTTTAGTAACCATTGTCAGTGCCAAGTATAGTGTTTACCATGGGCTCTCATGGACGCTGATTATGACTTTAGGTTGAGTCTTCCTCAAATAATAGTACTGTACTGTTAACAAATGTTCGGTCGAACATACAAAAATGGATTGTTACAGCCAACAATGTTCAAGTTTTGTAGTATTTTTTACCAGGCACGAAAAATCATTTATTGGCTTAGTTTCTTTGTTCAATTCTTGTGGTTTACCGTCACAGGTCCTAAACATTATTTGGAGACGGAGCCCAGATACTGGTGTTATCCCCGATATAACAACAGCGAAGACCGCACCACTCCACATAGGAGGCATTAGAGTGAACTAAACTATCTAGGTCACATACAGACTTGACGAAAGCCTAAGGCAACTGTCACAACGGTTGTGTACCTATCTGTTCCTACCTCTTATTGGTTCCTGTGATCGTAGTCCCTTGCGGCCCGGTCGACCGGACCAGCAAGCCTCGTCAGAGACAGGACCGCGGGGACACTGATTCTTGGAACCAAAAACAGGTTGACGAAGTAATAGAACATGTGCACGAATGCAGTACGGAGAAATGGGTTTTCCCACTTTGCAAGACACCCAAAAAGAGTAATTACTCAATGAGAGTAATAGTCAATGAGTAAAATTTAGTGTCTCCGTTGTGGAAAGTTCAGTCTCTTGAGTACTTGACACGCACACATACCCATGTCCGACATACATAAATACACAACTAGCAACCTAGTATTAACCTTAGAGATTAGAATTGTACTCCTTGCAACAATAACGGAAGACTCTTGGGGCATTCCTAGAACAAATGTGGATGCCTTCAAGAAGCATTTAGATATGTTCTTGTAAGACTTGCCGGACCAACCAGGTTGTGGTGGATATGTGGGCCCGCGGGCCGCTCCAAGGAACAGCCTGTTGGACCAAGTTATCACAAGTAGAGCCTGGCTCGGAGTAGAACTATTCCCGAAATCCTCTCCAGGTATGCTCCAGCTTCCCACGGGTGCTCTGGAACCCCCACAACTTTTCTTCTAAACTCTCGTTTAATTGAAATTAAGTTATCTTGGAATTTTTCCCTTTCAAATTGCCTACTTTTGGAGCTCGTGTTATTTAACATTTCTTCATATAATTTCGCAAGATACCTCGATTTTTTGTTTCCTGGAACTCGAAACTTCTTGGAATTACCCGCGACTCTTTGGATCACAAACAAGTATTTATTGCATCATTCAACCATTTGTGTTGCAAGTCTTAAAACGCTCCGGGTGAAAGTAAATCTCTTTCTTGCAAGTGTTGCATTTTCGGGTCTGTGGGTGTCGTGTCAGTGTTGGGGTCGACTGGTCGTGGACGACGGGTCGCCAGTGTTGGGGACGACTGGTCGTGGACGACGGGTCGCCAGTGTTGGGGACGACTGGTCGTGGACGACTGGTCGCCAGTGTTGGGGACGACTGGTCGTGGACGACGGGTCGCCAGTGTTGGGGTCGACTGGTCGTGGACGACGGGTCGTCAGTGTTGGGGACGACTGGTCGTGGACGACGGGTCGTCAGTGTTGGGGACGACAGACTTTGCAACGACATTTGTTAAATGTGACCTTGGGGTTATAGCCCATAAAATGAGGGCCATAGGAATAACGGGTACAGTAGTGTTGGATGTTCTGTGTTCTGAAACAGGACGCAAAGAACAGTAGTGAAACAAGCAAAACAAGTGAGAAGGACAGGAAAAAGTTAATCAGCACAATTCTCTGTTCTCATAACACATCAACAAAAGTTAACAATTCTAACTACAATACTTGGATAAGTTTCAAGTGGATACACGTAACACACTTACATCCTCAGATTGGAGGAGATGACGACTGTGACGGATCTGGGAATAATGATGTCAGACGACCTAACATTTAGTGAGCATAACAGAGCAAATGTCATCAGCCACGAAAAGGATAGGGCGGATTATGACAAGCTTCAAGTCACGGGATACCACCTCCACACGTGTTATCTTTAAGGGATTGATGTTCTGTGCTCATCTTTCCTTTCAAGGAAGGAGAAGTTTATGAAATACAAAAATATAGTGAGTTTACACTATCAGGGGGAAGGGTTGGTTTTTTTTATATACAATGTAACTTTGTTTATTTGAACCAACCTGATACTTGCCGTCGAACAGACCCCCAACACCCCTTGACAGAACAAACAGCCGACCTTTGTAACCACACTCCTGCTATCATCGATCGACCAGCAATGGACACTGGAGTGCTTGCAATTATTTGAGATCACCCTGGTAAGCGTCTGGTTCTGGGAGAGGGGTTCAGTGTCACCTTTATTTCAGGGGTACGGCTCACACTGCCTAGTTGTGATGAGTACACCCCCCGCTCTTGAGCCGCCGTGACTTCCCGCGCACTCCTTACTGTGGGGATGATCTCTCAATCCCCCTTAGTTATAGTCCACTATTACCCTGTCTCTGTCTCTCTCTCCAGGACAAGATCAAAAGCCAGCTAACAAATGTAACATTTAATACACAATATACATACGGGAATAGTTATAAAACAATACAACCTCTTAGGTAGCTACCAACTGATAACACTCCAATATCGCCTTATGTTTCCACCTATAACTGTACCAGGCTGCTGCTTAAACTTCAGTCTACAACCTTCTGCTCCCTTCACTGCTTTAGGCTGCAATACATGGCACATAAAATATTCACATATTTCCTACTCTACAAAAAGCATCACTCCCACCTTGCACTGCACCTTTCACGCCAAAATGCAATCAAGCCACTCCCTTAAACATCAACGTGTCCGTAATCCTCTGTTCCATTACTCGAGGTCCCCTAAGTACAATCATCAATCTGGGTCCTCCAAATATCACGTAAGGTACTCCTGCAGTTCCTCCAATCAGCTGCACATGAAGTCGTCCTTGAATGTCAATGACCACCTCCACCAGCTTCACACAAGATACGTGTAGCTCCCTATACTCCTTGAAGTTTCACTGTCACTGGAGTTCCATTCCTCAACTCAGTCCTGCACCACCTTGCAGTTCAGCTTATACTCCTCCGGTACGAAGTTTCTCCCACTAACTTCTCCCACACGAACGTTGCCTCCCCCATCCTGGACGAGTCCACACTGGGAACATGTCTTGAAGCGTCGCTGGGGGCCTTCGCCCCTCAGTCAGCACTTGACTTTCGGCACGGGAGGATGTACCACTCCTCCCTCCAGCATGTTCGCTTATCTCTAACCATCTATTTTAGCTAACTACCACAATAAAAAAATGTATAGCCTACATGCATAAACACTTGCCATGAAAGCTGGGCACACGATCAAGCACACGCAACCACTATTGAGTTTGCTAGAAAACCTAGTAAGACGTCACGTGGCTGTAGAATCTTAGCCGATCAAGCGGCTAAGACCACGTGACGTGGGACTCGGCTGTGAGTTAGCTCTGGGGTCCTTGGAATTAAGTTAACTAAGCATATGCACGGGCAGGGTAAAGGACAAAGTAAAGCTAATACCCGTTCCGTGTTACAATGGTAAAAAAGCCTTTGACACAGTACCCCATAAAAGGCTGTTAAAAACGTTGGAGCAACAGACAGGAGTAAAAGGGAAGGTGCTCCAGTGGATAAGGGAGTACTTAAGCAACAGGAAACAGCGAGTAATGGTGAGGGGGGAGACATCAGAGTAGCGAGATGTCATCAGCAGAGTCCCAACGGGCTCAGTACTTGGACCCATCCTGTTTCTAATATATGTAAGCAATCTTCCGGAGGGTATAGACTCGTTCCTCTCAATGTTTGCTGATGCAAAAATTATGAGAAGAATCAAGATGGATGAAGATATACAGACACTGCAGGATGACCTGGACAAACTGGAGGAATGGTCTAGAAAGTGGCTGCTAAAGTTCAACTCAGGAAAGTGTAAGGTAATGAAATTAGGCGAAGGGAGCAGGAGGCTGAACACAAGGTATCATCTGGGAGAGTCAAATAGAGAGAAAGATCTGGGGGTTGATATCATACCGAACCTGTCCCCAGAGGCCCACATCAAAAGAATATCATCAGCGGCATATGCTAGACTGGCCAACTTAGAACTGCCTTTAGAAACTTGTGTAAGGAATCATTCAGGACCCTGTATACTACTTATTGTAAGACCAATCCTGGAGTATGCAGCTCCAGCCTGGAGTCCATACCTAGTTAAACACAAGACAAAGTTAAGAGAAGATTCAGCGGTATGCCACCAGGCTCGTCCTGGAACTGAGAGGAATGAGCTACGAGGAAAAGCTAAAGGAGCTGAACCTCACGTCCCTGAAAAACAGAAGAGTATTGGGAGACATGATAACCACCTACAAAATTCTCAGGGGAATTGACAGAGTGGACAAAGACTTCAGCACGGGTGGGACACAAACAAGGGGACACAGGTGGAAACTTAGTATCCAGGTGAGCCACAGAGACCTTAGAAAGAATTTTTTCAGTGTCAGAGTAGTTAATAAATGGAATGCACTAGGAAGTGATGTGGTGAGAGGAAGGGAGCCGGTCGGCCGAACGGACAGCATGCCGACTTGTGATCCTGTGGTCCCAGGTTCGATCCCGGGCACCGGCGAGAAACAATGGGCAGAGTTTCTTTCACCCTATGCCCCTGTTACCTAGCAGTAAAATAGGTACCTGGGTGTTAGTCAGCTGTCACGGGTTGCTTCCTGGGGGTGGAGGCCTGGTCGAGGGCCGAGCCGCGGGGTCACTAAAAAGCCCCGAGATCATCTCAAGATAATCTCAAGGTGGAGGCTAACTCCATACACAGTTTCAAATGTAGATATGATAGAGCCCAGTAGGGTCGAGAATGTACACCAGTTGATTGACAGTTGAGAGGCGGGCCCAAAGAGCCAAAGCTCAACCCCCTCAAGCACAATTAGGTGAGTACTATAACAGCTGCTACATGGGCTTACTGCAGAATATGTTGCTGGAGAGCGTCCAACTCGGGTCCTTCAAGATGGTGTCCTCTAAGACGTCCAACAAAGTTGCTTTAAGACTGCCTCACAGCTCTTCTGCTCCTGACTTGAGTATATGGAGTCGCCCAGCAGGTTCCACAACAGAAACGCCTGTTTGCTTCCTTCCTACTGGAAGCAACACAATTAAAGTTCCACAAAGGTGCGACCAAACACTCGGTTCCAGGCTAAAGCTAATTATCAAAATCAAAGAGAATTGGTGCACCAAGTCCCCAACAGCTTCCTCACACTTGCAAACAAGCAGCCTTTGCTCCACCACTAACACAGGGAACTATATTAACCCTCCTCCCAAGAGATCAACAAACTACAACCATCTCTGACAACTGCTGTAGCTCAAGTGAGGTCACCAAGTCCTGCTAGCGTCACTTCACGTTTCCAAATTATCTTCATCTCATTTCATGTCATCTATTTAAATGCTCATCCTCTACTCATATTTTTAAATTATTCACTGACGTTTTTTATATATTCAATACAGTATATACTGTACATCTTTCCTCTGACCTCAATCAAGTCGAAGGCAGAATAACTATCACATAGGTAGACTGTTCCACCCAGGCTATATGGAATCATAACACACCAGCAGAGATCGTGCCACTTCACAAAGGAGGTAGTAAAGCAGATGGCCAAGCATCTGGCCTTCGGCCTTGGGTAGACACACACACACAAACATTGTAGTTTATAAATATAGACTATAACCATATCTTTACTTTTTATAGTATCTTCTCTACACACTGAATTAGGTAATGATAAGGAGAGGCGTTGCTTGTCTTGGGAAGATGAGAGGATGGTGGTGACTGGCTGAGAATTAAACAGTCCACCTACCTACCTATCTTGTGTCTACCTTTTGTAGCTTCCGGGGATCAATGGCCTGGAAGCTCAGACCAGTCCTCCCGGTACGACATGTATCAGTACACAGTATACATATACTGATTGGTTTAGTGTCAAGGTACAGTATACATGCACTGATTAGTTTAGTGTCAAGGTACAGTATATGTGTAGTGATTGGTTTAGTGTCGGGGAACAGTATACATGTACTGATTGGTTTAGTAACAATATTTTTCATTAAATATTGTTTCATGACACTTTCCTTGCAGGAGGTGCGTGGAGGCAAGTCATTCCAGAAGCTTGGTTATGCAGATGTTAACCTGGCAGAGTTTGCTGGATCAGGAGGGTCCCAGAGATACCTGTTGGAGGCTTATGATTCAAAACATCGCCTTCACAACTCTATGTTGAAAGTCACTGTAGATATGACGCTGTTATCTGGTGACCCTTGCTTTAAAGCGTGAGTAATAATTATTTTTCCCAATACAGTATAATGTATAATTTTTCACTAAGTATTAGGTAAAGGAAAAAGAACATAACATAAAGGAAATGTCAAGGAAAATGAAACTGAGAATGAACGTGCAAACAAGGTGTGTATTGAGGATGTGCCAAATAGACATGTAGGGGTGTGATTATAAGCAGGAGAAAAGGGGGGTGGGAAGTGAAGAATAAAAGGAAAGTGGTGAGAGATGAACAAAATGATAAAGGATTAGAAATTTGAGAAAATTCAATGAGGTCTTTGTAAGAAATACGATTATTTTACAGAAAGGTTAGAGATAATGTTGTGGGAGAAAGGTGGGTATTAGGAGAGTGCACTAAACCAGTATGACTATATAGCACTGGAAAGGGATACATGGGCAAGGTGATGGAATATGAGTCTGGGATGAAAGGAATGCTGCCCAATCACTTGGACTATCGGGGATCAAACATCAACCTTTCAAGATGGAAGGCAGTCCTTCTACTGACGAGTCCAAGTGCATATGAACAGTGGGGAAAGTGGGGAGTAAATAGTGAAGGATGTGGGTGGGACTTTGTTGAGATGTACATCACTTTACCAATTCTATATATAGGTGGAGGGAATATTTTTGTCTACAGATTTTGTATCATATAATAGCTAAACATTGAGATTTATACTAGAACAAAAATTCAAGAAAAAATATTGAAGAGGTGGTGCATGGGATCAGTGTTAGATAAAAATTGATGTAGTAGTAGTACGTAGTACAGTATAATGAAAGGAAAATATTAGTATGAGAGTTAAGAAATGAGATAATACAACTCCTATCTCTTGACACATGGTAGTGAAACGTGTATGAAAAGTGGGCAGAGTGCTTAAGAGTACAGTATAAGCTGCAGAGATTATATTTGAGAAAAGCAGCTAGTGTAAGTATGCCGGATGGGTATAGTAATAAGAAAGTATGAGATGTGGTATGAGAGAATGGAATGTGGAGTGATCATCTTGAGAATTATTCATAAAGTATGATGTACAAGGGGATTGTTTTGGCATCAATTTTGAGGAGAGTGGAACAATTTCTGAAAGAAAGTGTGGGGAAGGGATTAGCTAGTTTGAAAGTGTGATAGGTTTGTGTGGTGCTTGAGCCTTCTAGGAAGCTTTTGTTGCAGGGAATGTCAGATGGGGAGCACCCAGGAGGAGTAAGGCATCAGGGCTATATTGTAGATGCTTAACTTTAATAAATTAAAGTTCCTGGTAGAAGGGAAAATGTCCAATTTGAATAATACGTGTACAGTATCTCTAATTTTAGTGAATTAATTTTATTAAGCTAGAAAAAGAATTATCCATCTTCATAATTAATGCACTAGTTCAGTTATATTGTCATAGCTAATTTGATTTCATGTGACTCCTTGGCTCTAGTTTATTTACAGTACAGTATATGTTTACTTTATAGCCAGCCATCGCGAGGCACCCGGTACCAGCCACCTTCAGAGGCTGGGGCAGAAGAAGTTCCACCGAGCAGACCCACATCAGGTTCTCTAGCATCATTAACTTCCTCAGGTTATGATTCTCTCAAGAAGAAAGTCAATGGTATGTTATTCCCCCTTGTACTCTTGTATATTTTCCTTTGTATTGTGCCATCTCCTTTCATATTAGATTTATTTCAATGCCATCAGGTTTTTATATAAAATATATACTACATCTTATTTAAGTGAACTTGAGGTTGGTAAGGAGATGTTGGCTGGAAAGATGATGGGCAGAAATGATGCATAAGTGTGAGATGAAGCAGATAAATAAAAATCCCAAATTTCTTCATATATTTTAAACTGATATTAAAAATACTCTCGGTATTGGACCGATACTTAAAAGTGAAGGTTCATACACAGAGGATGACATAGAATAAATCAAATGGGGGACCTTTGACAAGTCACCGGCTTCCTGTCCTCGTCAAGGCCACTAGTGTGTTAGTGGCTCTCGGGTAAATTCTGTTAAATTAGTGAAATCCAAACAAAATTCAGTATGGTATATTTAGCACCCCATATATACAGTATGAAAATGGGAGATCCAGACAGCTTCTTTATGAATGATATCCAAACCCTAGAGAGTATAACTGCTTTTTCTTACTTTCATATCAGATATAGACAAAAATACAAATCACAGCTTCATGTCATCTTTTGCAGATGGCACAAAAATCAGCATGAAAATTATTTCTGCAGAAGACACTAAAAACTACATGAAGATGATATTAAAGATTTTGATTGGGCACTAGAAAATGATAATTAACAATGATAAATTCCAGGTACAGTACTTTAGTATGGTAAAAATGAGAACACTTTAAATGAAATATAAGGTACAAGATGCAATCAGAGTTACCCCTTGCAGGAAAGCAACACGTAAATGTTCTGAAAATAATTGTCCGACGACCTAACATTTAGGAAACATAACCAATCAAATATACCATCAGCTAGAAAAATGACAGGATGGATTTTGAGAAATTTCAAATCCTGGGAGCCCCTCACAGTGCTCATACTATTCAAGTAACTTATGCTGTCTCGCCATGAGTACTGCTCGATACTCACTTTTCCCTTCAAAGCGGAAGAGATTGCTGAAACAGAGGGAATACAGAGAACATACATGGCACACATACACCTAAATTGTTGGGACCATCTCAAAGCTCTCAATGTCTCTGGAAAGGAGACAAGAAGAGGTATCACGTAATATATACGTGAAAAATACTGGAGGGCCAGGTCCCAAATTTGTACAGTAAAATCACAATATACTGAAGCAATTAATGTAGAATGAAATGCAGAATAGAACCAGTGATGAGTCAACCCGTTCTCGCAAATTTAATTGTCCGCAGAAGACAGAAGACATCCTTTTAAGGGTATCTATTATGTTAAGTATATCACCTATGCACGTAGTTAATAAGTCAATATTGACTTTACGAATTTGCGAGAACGGGTTGGATGAGTAGAGGTGCTATAGGCACAGAGAACACTATAAACATCAGAGGTCCACAGTTGTTCAATATCCTCCCAGCAAGCATAAGAAATATTGCTGCAACAACCGTAGACATCTTCAAGAGAAAACTAGATCATTTTCTCCAATGAAGAATTTTATTTTTCACTAAGAGCAGTGGTTGCTTTGGTTTTGTCTTAAATTTTGGCCTGCTCAAAAAAGTACTTTATCACACTTGATGCTCTATTTTTATTTTGTAATTTATTTTTCTGTATTATTTTGAAATTAAATTGTACATTTTCCATGTAAAAATTCCTTCAACAAATTTTACATGTAGTAGAGCCATTTTATTTCATGCATCGGTTTATTTCATCCTTCTAATGCTTTAATTTATCCAATCCATCAGCTTCTTCCCCCTTCCCCAATCCCTTTACGGGTGAACTATTCTATTATTAAACTGTACTGTACATAAAGGTGGCAGTTTGACAAGAGTATTTTTATACCATATAAAAAAAGCAATCATTGATGAATATTTCAGTAATAAAATTAACAACTTGATTTTCTTAATTTCTGATCACAAAATGAAAGGTTATCTTGAGGTTATCTTGAGATGATTTCGGGGCTTTAGTGTCCCTGCGGCCCGGTCCTCGACCAGGCCTCCACCCCCAGGAAGCAGCCCGTGACAGCTGACTAACTCCCAGGTACCTATTTACTGCTAGGTAACAGGGGCATTCAGGGTGAAAGAAACTTTGCCCATTTGCTTCTGCCTCGTGCGGGAATCGAACCCGCGCCACAGAATTACGAATCCTGCGCGCTATCCACCAGGCTACGAGGCCCCTATGTTGACATGTTATGTTATGACTGTTTCATATCAATGAAATGTTATGACAATTTCATATCCACCATCCAAGGTGTCTTAGTCAACTTTTGCTTACCAGTAAACACACAAATTAACAATGAATTTTCTTGACAGTCTTCATTTTTGTGGTAGTACATATACGGTAGACATAAACTTAACAAGTTCATAAAAATTTTGCATCCACAACACCCACTCTCCTCCACTGTTTCCAACACTGACCAGCACATGTTTGTCAAGCCGTACCCAAGTACGTACATAAATAAAAGGTACTGTACGTACCTTTTGAGCGGTAAACCCAGCCATGGCCTGCATTCAAATTCCAGTAGATACAAACATTTTTTATTTCACCAATCTTTGTTTACTGGACTTGAATCAACCCTGCTTCACTTTGGGAATTCTCATCAACAAGATTTGGTCTAGTGGGCTTCAACTGAAAAACAAAATTTGTCCCTTAGTTCATATGTTATGGTACAGCTAAATTCCTTATGATGAGTTGCCATATAATGAGGGTGGGTTAACTGTTACAATCTTGGGTTCCATACTGATGCTGTTTAGTCTACTACAGCACTTATCTCACAAAGGCCGTTCATAACGTTATGATTTTTTTGTAAATGCTTCCGAATCTTTTACGTTTCTGTGCCTGTGTTGAAATTTACCCGATTTAATGTCCATTTCTAAAACCTTCTCTGTCTCTGAAGCCTTTCACTGTGCCATCATGTGTCATTTCTCTGATCTAATTTCACCTCTCCCTATTCTCATTACTTTGTATTTACTTGTAAACTGATTTCCAAAGCCATTCATCTCCTATCTCTAATAGGGTATTGTATATCCTAGTTAGTGTTGTACATAACATCACTGCAACCTCCTTCAGTATCTGGTGATACAGGATTTACTCATTTCACTTGAGCTTGTATGATTATACTGTAGTAGTTTCATCTTGATATAGTACTTTAAATGTATGTATGTATATTTGGTTAAATATGAACACATTGCTGGCATTGTTGATCTTATACTTTGGAGTTACCTTGGAGTTTTTCCGGGGCTTAGCGTCCCCGCAGCCCGGTTGCTGGAATGGTCAAGCAGGCTGTTTGACGCGGCTGCTCGCAGCCTGACGTATGAATCACAGCCTGGTTGATCAGGTATCCTTTGGAGGGGCTTATCCAGTTCTTTCTTGAACGCGTGAGTGGTCGGCCAGTTATGCCCCTTAAGTGTAGTGGAAGCGTGTTGAACAGTCTCGGGCCTCTGATGTTGATAGTTCTCTCTCAAAGTGCCTGTTGCACCTCTGCTTTTCAACAGGGGTATTCTGCACATCCTGCCATGCCTCCCGGTCTCATGGCTTCTCTAATATTTTCCACGTATAGATTATTATGTATCTCTCCCACCTGCACTCAAGAGAATATAGGCTTTCTATGGTTCTATTTTCTTACCCTTGGGATTAAGAAGAGCAATCAAGTTACCGAAATTCACTATAAAGAAACTGATTACTGAATGGTATATTTTCTACACAGTTTCGTTCCATTCTGGAACATCTTCAAATAAAGAAGGAATATACAAGGTATGTATGTATGTCTGTGTATGTCATGCCTAATAGCAACAACTGCACTACTTGGCATTACAAGGTTCAATTTGCCTAACAGGCCAATTGATTTTCATCATTTTCAAATATTTCTTTCCAGATTGGTTCTTTTCTAACAATAATAATCTCTTATATTATGATCATGAATTACTGACTTAGTTAGGTTAGGATAAGTTAGGTTAGGATAAGTTAGGTTAGGATAAGTTAGGTTAGGATAAGTTAGGTTAGGATAAGTTAGGTTAGGATAAGTTAGGTTAGGTTAAGTTAGGTTAGGTTAAGTTAGGTTAGGTTAAGTTAGGTTAGGTTAAGTTAGGTTAGGTTAAGTTAGGTTAGGTTAAGTTAGGTTAGGTTGTTAGGTTAAGTTAAGTTAGGTTAGGTTAAGTTAGGTTAGGTTAAGTTAGGTTAGGTTAAGTTAGGTTAGGTTAAGTTAGGTTAGGTTAAGTTAGGTTAGGTTAGGTTAGGTTAGGTTAAGTTAGGTTAGGTTAGGTTAAGTTAGGTTAGGTTAGGTTAGGTTAGGTTAGGTTAGGTTAGGTTAGGTTAAGTTAGGTTAGGTTAGGTTAGGTTAGGTTAGGTTAAGTTAGGTTAAGTTAGGTTAGGTTAGGTTAGGTTAGGTTAAGTTAGGTTAGGTTAGGTTAGGTTAGGTTAGGTTAGGTTAGGTAAGGATAGGTTAGGTAAGGATAGGTTAGGTAAGGATAGGTTAGGTAAGGATAGGTTAGGTAAGGATAGGTTAGGTAAGGATAGGTTAAATTAGCATAGGTTAGGTTTGATCACATTTGTTAGTTTTGAATTGGTTAAAAAAATAAAATCATACGTAATGCAATAGCAAGTTGTATCATTTCTAAAGTAAAATATTTGAAAATATATTATTTTGGGAAAATTTAGTTTCTTAGGCAACTTGCCCTATTAGGTACAAGATGTATATGTGTAAGCTGGTCAGAATTGCATTTCACCTTTGTAAATGCACATTAATTGTATTATGTATAAACGACCATACCTCAAACACTGTTTATGTAGGACAGACATAAATGTATGTACAGTATTTATGCATGTAGGTTAGATTAGCATTTTAACCCTTAAACTGCGCAATACATACATATGTGATTTGACATATAATTTAACGTAAGTTTTTAAAACTTGCACAAACACTTTCCAATTTTTTGTACATAATCAACTAGGCAAATGCTCCAACATTGTCTAAATGATCACAACGTAACTTGAAAAACAAGAGAATCAAAATTAATTTTAAAATTGAATATTGAAACTTCAGTTTTTCAATTCAGAATAAAAAATATGAACTATCACCAATTGTTCATTTAATGTTGTTATTCTCTCAGAATAGCATATGATCTTCATTTTCATCAAATTAGAATATAGGTTTTCAGTATAGTTTACTGTTAAAATTTTTTTTACCTATAAGGCATTTGAAATATGCAGCAAATTTAGACCCAAAAAAATTATAACTCCAAATGTATAAAGTTTATGAAAAATCCATTCTGAAGGGATTGTAGAACAAACAGCTGAGCACACAATATGTCAAAATAGTGAGAATCGGTCAAAACTGGAATTTTAGAAGTCACCCAAAGTTGAAACTCTAATTTCGGAGATAATTGAAGTTGAAGTTATCAACAATGAATAAAGGTAGTTTTAATCCATTAATTTAATTGTATGTTTTAATAAACATTGTTTGGCATTCATACTCGAATATGGGAAAGTTGAAGATCAATATGTGTTGAAATGAAGTCAAGAAAAATATCCCAAAAACACAATTTAGGGATAATTATAATGTAATGATTTAGCGGAAATATTTAGGGTATACTTTATATAAGTGAAAAAGCCCTAATATGGTCCCTAATCATCAAAACAACCTAAAGAGACAAAGAAAATAGTTTGAAATCAGAGAAAAAAATCAGCCAAAAATAATTTGTCCCAAGTTTTGTGAGTTATGACAGATTTATTTGTTGACCAATTTCATTTTATCGTCACATAGTTAGGGAAACATATGCATTCTCCAGGATGTGAAGGTTACAACAAAATCAGGTAATAAACAAAGGAGAAAACTAAAATTAAAAAAAAAAAATCCCCATCAAATTTTTTTTTGGGGGACATTGATGAAAGTAATATATATTACCATTGGACAATGTATTTATATGATATATAACAAAATAGAGAATAATAAGTTACTCATTATTATTTGTGTTATTAGGTATTACTCAGCAATGATAAAAGGGCACCAACTGCATATCCACTTTGTGGACATTTCTTACTACTATTTTTCTTCTTTGAGCGTCGGACAGGTGCTTGCATCTCTTTATAACTGCATTATCCTTCAGTTCCAGTTAATAGGAGCTGTTCTCCTTATCAACAAAACGTTCTTATTTTTTAAAAATTCATCTAAAATCAATTTCTGAAAATATTTTGTTGACAGTTTCACAACACTGAAGCCAATAAGTTGGAGATTTGTTTAACATTTTTAAGTTATTTTTGCACAATTCAAATATTTTTCGCTTCCTGGCCCCCAATATGCACAGTAATATGCATGGTTTAACGGTTAAACGCACTACAATCACCATCTGTGATTATTCAATAAATCGCTGAACTACTGTATATGTCTAGCAGATCTCTAACCCTGTCTACGGAGAAAAGACAAAAATGTATATTTGCTGGTTATCATTGTAAATGTATCACCACGTCTTTGATAGAAAAAAACCTCCACATTCTCATTACTCTGTATTTAGTACTTTTAAATTGATTTACAAGGCCATTCATCTGCCCATTCTTCAGCACATTAAGATCCTATGTTATAGCTTGCAATTCTCCTCTGTCCTTAACTGCATCAGCTTTTCATCATCTGTAATCATTGCCCTGTTGAAATGTACTATACCAAGTCATTCACATGATTCAAGAACAGTCTTGTGAGACCACTCTTGTTGCTTCCTCATTGTGGCATTTCTCCTCGTTTGACAACTCTGTTCCCTGCCCGACAGATACTCCTGCACCCAGTCAAGTACCCTCCAGGTTATTCCAGCCTACTTCTCCATCTTGTATAGTACTCTTCTGTGGGGGACGGTATCAAAGGCTTTCTGAGACTCTAGGAAGATGCAGTCTACCCATCCTTCTTTCTCCTGTTTTACCTTGGTCACCCTGTCGTAGAAGTCTATCAGGTTTGTCAGGCATGATTTGTCCCCTCTAAATCCATATTGTTTCTTGGCTGCAAATTCATTTCTTCAGGTGTTGCACTAGCCTTTTTTCTGATTTTTTGTTTTGTTTTAAAGTACTTTGCAGGGTATGCATGTCAAGAATACTGGCCAGTATTTCAATGCTGGCAGTGCCTCCTCTTTCTTTAACCTCTGTACTATGTTTGCTATCATCCAAATGTTTTGAACTTTCTACCTCTATTAGGGTATTGTATATCCTAGTTAGTGTTGTACACATCACTACAACCTCCTACAGTAACTGGTGATACAGGATTTAATCTCATCTCACTTGAGCTTGTATGCTTATAATAGTTTTATTTGATATATTACCTAATCTACTGTTACTGCACTGTTTATAATTTTCTGTCCATCTCTCGTATATCTGGACTCTACTCTGAAACAATGTTAAATGCTTTCTGGACATACAGGGTGTCCCAGAATTAGTTATCCATTTCTGTGAAGTGAGACAAATTTTTAAAAACATATTTACTGTATTGATGTTTATCATGTTATAAGTGTAATTTTTTTTAATCATTTCAATTGCCAATCAAAACATTGGTCATATCTGGGCTGATAAAAAACCATCTGCATTTATAGAATGGCAGACTTTCTCCAAAAGTTACCATTTGGCTTGGAATGACTAAATCCAGAATTTATGGTCCATTCTTTTATGATGAAGCATCTGTAATAGGTACCATCTACTAGGTACCTTGATCCACAGCTTCTTGATGGTATTCTTGATAACATTATTTCAACAAGATGGAGCATCATGCCATTATGCACTAATTGTCTGAGAATACCTCAACAGACAATTTCCAAATTGGTGGATTGGATGTGGAAGACCTCGACCTTGGCCTTCACATTCTCTGGATTTGACACCCCTGGATTTCTTTGCATATTGGCTCATAAGTTTTTTCTTGCCAAAGGATCAATAGTTTAGCCGAACTTAAAGTACACAGTCAACTGGCAGTGAATGTGTTTTGCAATGCTAAAGTTAGATTTGAAATATACAGGGATACAGATGGAGCACATGTTGAAAGTTCTCAAAGATTTGACATGTATAAATCTTTGTTTTTGCATAATAATAATTAGACAAAACCATGAAATTATGTAGGTTTTTAATAGATTCATCAAATTTCATAGAAATAGTTAATTCTGGGACACCCTGTATTTTTAAGCCCTCTCTTTTTTCAGAGTTACTTCAACTCGTTCTCCAATTTATCCTCGAGTCTATTTTCTTGCTGAATCTTCTGCAGGAGCATTTTTGCTCTTGCATAGTTTTTGAAAACTATGTCTTCTGTAGTTTCCTTGTCAGTGCATTTTTGCTCTGTTCCTTACATTTGAAATCTGCTATATATTTGAGGACTTAGCACAATGGTTAAGGCTTCCAGTTGTTCCTCATATTTTAGTCTCGTATTGTCATCCTTGTTTTGAGTGAATATCTGGTCTAGTGTTATTGGTTCATCATCCTCCAGTCTTCTCATTGGCTCTATTGCATTATACTGCATACCAGGAAATTTTAACTATGTACATTGCCGACTAATTTTCCACTCCACGTGAAGTAGATTCTACTTTGCCTCAATCTAAAAAAAATATAAAGTACTGTACTTGGGTTTATTTAAAAGGTTTCAGTAGATATACTTTTCTCTGAAAATTTGTGAAATACTTTACAAAAAAAATTTCATTCTCCATGACTTTTGACATCACTGATATAGATCAAATTGAGTTTTATTATTTTTATGATATATATAGCACTTGTATATTAGGTATAGGGATGGACATTTTATAGCTACTTCGGGAGACATGACCACTGCATTGATGTACAGTATTCCCACAAAATATTTAAAGAGATAATAAATTTCTACACCACCCACGAGATGCTACTAATGGTAAATTTATTTTAAATTGGGAGGATAATTTTTTTTTTCATCAAATTACATTTGAAGTGGCAACAGGCATTCTGCTCCTGCTGTAAAATCTTGAGGTTCCAAAGGTTGTTGAAGTTTTCCTAATTCTGAATTTCTGTGCACTGACACTTTTGTTTTATCCTGAATCAATTCTTAAATAAAATTGAGAGTGGTAAAAAATGTACTACTACATTGTTGTGAGTAAGGCATTTTATAAAAGTGATCAGAGGTGGGCTTTGACTGTGTTCCCTATACTGTACAGTACTGTATTACAGTTCCAATGAAACAACTTAATTTACATAATTCTTATAATAAAGAAAAAAATTGACCAGAAATTCTCCATTCAGAAATTTTGAAGATCATGCATGAATGTTTGTCAACATTTTTGCATTACAATTATGATGCAGAGCGCACTACACCAGACACACTCACAATTTGAAGTGCTTCATGTTTGTCACTATTTATACAGATTCATTTTTTGTATTTCACTGAAATTTTTGATGACGTCTTCAAAAGTACTTCTTTTAAAAATTTGCTTAATATTTGAGTCGGCATGCTCCATACTAAAAGAGTCTTTGATGGAGAATTGCATGTGATCTTTGCTAAAATGTTCCCGTTTTGAATCGGTGAAACTTGATCATTTGCAGTCATTTTCCAGCTTTGCACAAAGTCATTAATTTGGTGTTTTGATGCACATTGCAGATACATATACCATGGGTACCACTACTTCGTCATACATAATATCTTATGTAATGGGTAATAATTGTGATATTTTGTACAGGTTGTTGTGAATGACTTTTCTGATTTAGATTCTGGTTATGCAGATCTATACAGTAATCTTGAATCATACTGGTAGATGCACTAACATGTTACCAAACAACTACGAAAAGATTATACCAGCTCGAGTAACAATTTGGTCTGTAATATATTTATCAAATACAATTTGATAAATATAGGTATTTAGCAGCTTATACAAAGCCTGCACTTGAATTTTAATAATACTGTACTGTGCTCAAGAACAAAGTACTTAGAAAATACAGTATAATTTTACCCTAAAACAGATTTTCTGGGCTGGCCCTCAATAGCTTGCTGGTGCATTGGCACTGGTACCAGACATCCACAAAATTCCCAAGCCTCTAGACTTACACAAGCCTACCAAACACTAGGACCAGAGTTGGTGTGCTCATAGAGGTGAAGGAACATGGGGATTTAGGAGAGATTCCAAACAGAGTAAAATCATCCTGAAAGTACAGGCAAAGCAAAACAACCTACCATATGTACCTTGATTAAAGAGAAAAGATGGAAACAAAGGAGCAATATTTTGCCCAATTTCAACAACCCATGTGCTAGTACCCAAGCACACTACCAGTTGGCACCTCGAATCACCCAGGGTCTAACCTTCATGCTTTCTTCCCTCGTATGCCTACTAACCAAACATCATCATTCCTCCACAAGAGCCAACATTTTTATTTTAGCTAAGTGAGGTTAGCATTCCTTGAGATTGTCTTGCAGGGCCAAGCTTAGTATTTCTTGTTTGAATATGCTGCATGATTGTTTGTGCTCCCCCATCTTGTTGTCTTTGGTTGATTAGTGTGCCTGAAGTTTGTATTAGGGTTACCTTTTCTGGCATCGGCCTATGTTTTCAATTTGTTAGTGTTATCTTCTGTGAGGGGTTGTGGTGTCCTCCATTCTTGAACTACTAGTTTTTGGGAGTTCTCTTGATTTGCCTCAGTGTGCAGGTAGTACTTGGGAGTTGGTCTTCATGCCAGACCTGTTGATGGCAGTCAAGTTCATGCGTTATAGGTTATCTTGAGATGATTTCGGGGCTTTAGTGTCCCCACGGCCCGGTCCTCGACCAGGGCCTCCACCCCCAGGAAACAGCCCGTGACAGCTGACTAACACCCAGGTACCTATTTTACTGCTAGGTAACATGGGCATCAGGGGTAAAAGAAACTCTGCCCATTGTTTCTCGCCGGCACCGGGATCGAACCCGGGACCACAGGATCACAAGTCCAGCGGTCTGTCCGCTCGGCCGACCAGATCCCTTTACTTTAAACAACTTTAATGTGTACTTTATACTGTGTACTGTGTACACAGTGTAAAGTGTACTGTGTACTTTAAACAAAAAAAAGGGCTTAGTTACATCTTATTTATCAGTATGCCTTGCATGTTTATGGAATACTGCTTGGGTGGTGATTAAGGATTCTTTTGGTGTAATTCCATGAGACTACCCTTCCCCCATCTGTGATTTACAGGGTTTGGTGTGCAGGAGTCAGTTTCATGTACTGTGTGTAATTACCTAAGTATAGTTACAGGATGAGAGCTACGCTCGTGGTGTCCCATCTCCCCAGCACACTGTCATTTAACGCTTTGAAATTACTGTACTGTACTGACTGTTTTGGCCTCCTCCACCTTCTCACCTGACTTGTTCCAACCGTCTACCACTCTGTTTACAAAAGTGAATTTTCTAATATTTGTTTGGCAGCTTTGTTTTGTTAGTTTAAATCTATGACCTCTTGTTCTTAAGTTCCAGGTCTCAGGAATTCTTCCCTATCATTTTTATAGATTCCTGTTACTATTTTGTATGTAGTGATCATATCGCCTCTTTTTCTTCTGTCTTCTAGTTTTTGCATATTTAATGCCTCTAACCTCTCCTCATAGCTCCCGTCCTTCAGTTCTGGGAGCCACTTAATGGCATGTCTTTGCACCTTTTTCGGTTTGTTGATGGGCTTCTTAAGATATGGGCACCATACAACTGCTGCATATTCCAGCTTTGATCTAACAAAAGTCGTGAACAATTTCTTTAGTATTTCTCCATCCATGTATTGTATTTAAAAGCAGTTCTGAAGTTAGAAAGTGTAGCATAGGCTCCTTGCACAATGTTCTTAATGTGGTCCTCAGATGACAGTTTCTATCTAGAATCACCCCTAGATCCCTTTCTTTGTAAGAATTCTTTAAAGATTTCCCGCATAATTTATAGGTTGTGTGGGGGGCTATGTTCTCCAATTCCACATTCCATTCCATAACATGACATTTATTCACATTGAATTCCATTTGCCA